TTCCCCATGATGAGACTGGTAGTCAACTCCATGGTGGAATCTACTGTGAGCAGCTGAGTAGCAGCCTTAGGGATGTGGTCTGCTTCCCGTATATAAACAGCAGCTTTGGAAATGGTCTCTAGCTTATGGCACGCTTCAACCCTGTATGTAGCCATGTCATCGTTCAGCAGGCTACCATGCTCTGCCGACCTTGGGATTTTCAGTGTACTTGAATTAATGGCCTGCCATGTGGTTTGGTAACATGGAGACTGTGCCATTTTATTTGTCGATCTTGGGCTTATTAGCTTCAGCAGCCAGTAGCTGCCTGAGTAAAGAGATGCCTCTAGCTTCAGTGGGCTGGGAGCAAGAGGCAGAGCTGAAGCCCAAGGTTGAGGGGCTTTCACCCAGCCCCTAGGGTCTGGCACTTTGAACTCAGACTTCTAGCCTCCTGAACTGTAAGAGAATAAACTCCTGTTTGTTCAAACCATCCCATTCATGGTATATTCTTGTCGGAGTGGCACTAGGTAACCAGAACAACTACCATAACAAAAATACCACATTTAGATGGTTTTAGCAAACAGACATTTATATTGTCACAGTTAAGAAGGGTACAAGTCTGAATTCCCGGTGCTGACTCTAGGGGAAGGCTTTCTCTCTCTGACAGCTATCGGGGAAGGTCTTGGTCCCTTCAACTTGTTCCCAGGTTCCTTGGAGATCTCCATGTGTCTTGGCATCAATCTTTCCCTCAGGTCTAAGAGGTTCTACGAACAAATCTGTCCTAGAAGAAGGGCAGCCGGAATGCTCCTCAGAAGTGAGAGTGGAAAGACTTCATTTCACCTACTTTGGACATGTTGTCAGAGGGGACCAGTTCCTGGAGAAAGATATCATGCTTGGTAAAGTGGAGGGTCAGTAAAGAAGGGGAAGACCCTCAAGGAGATGAATTGACACAATGGCTGCAACAACGGGCTCAAGCATAGCAGGAATTGTGAGGATGGTGCAGCACCGGGCAGTGTTTTGTTCTGTTGCAAATAGGGTTATTATCTGTTGGAATTGATTCCACAGCACCTAACAACAACAGGAGGTTCTCAGTGCAGGGACCGCCTCAACAGAAACCCAGTGTCCCTTAATCAATATCTCCCTATTTCCCCTCCTCCTGCCCCTGGGGATATTGTGTTATATGCTGTTTAGTCAGTTTCCACTCTTAGTGACCCTGTGCAGAACAGAACCAAACACTACCCCGTCTTGTGCCATCCTCACCGTCATCGCTATGGTTCAGGCCACTGTTGCAGCCGCTGTGTCAAACCATCTCATTGAGGTTCTCTGCCGCTTTTTTTTGCTGACCCTCTACTTTATGAAGCATGATGACCTACTCCAGGGATTGGTGCCTCCTGATAACACGTCCAAAGTATGTGAGACAAATTCTCACCATCGTAAATTCTAACGAATATGATGCTTGTACTTCTTCCAAGACAGATTTGTTCGTTCCTCTGGCAGTTCATGATAACCACTAATAAACTTTGATCTCTAAACGTGTTCCTAATCCAGCTATCTCGTATTAGTGGGAATCATCCAATACTCATCCTTTTAGTCCAATTTGAGATACATTTCTCCAGGGAGAGAAGGAGGGTGGAAGATCAAATTGAATAAAAAAGGAAAATTCTTCACCATACTTAAATTTCACATTTCATTTTATTTTTAAAGGGGCCCCTCAAAAGAAATCTGATGAGCCAGACTTTACAGGAGAAACAACGAGCTCGTGCATCAGAGGTCAAGTCCAGACGTGGCGTAGACTCTGCTCTCCCTCTGAGGTTGACCAGCTGTATATTCCCGAGGCCTGTCACCAGAGTCACGTCCCACCCAGGCAATGAGGTCAGGCAAAGTCAGTGGGAGGAGAAGTTGGAGAAGCCCCAGCAGGTGTGTGCATTCAGGAGACTGCAGGGGCTCCAGGCCTGCGGGAGCACGGGAGAGCTGTTGAATACTTTGGACTTCTCAAATGTGTTAACTACAATTGCACCCAGTGGTACAGGAGAGTTCCTGGGCAATGTTGGCGATCGGGGTCCACGTACCCACCCTGAACCCCACCCTGGCCAGCCTTCAAATGTGGCAGAGATCATCCCAGGGGTGGGTCTGCGTCTCTCCCCTCCCCTCCGCGGACAGCAGGTACCTTACGGAGCTATCAGGAACCAGTCTCGGAAAATGAAGAAAGCGAGGGAGAGACTGGCTGTGGCCTTGAAGGCAGACCGGCTGGCCAGGGAGGCAGAGAGAGCAAGGAGCCAAGAAGAACGTCCTGAAAACTAGAGGAACAGTAGAAGGGAGCACTGAAGGAGTTGACCACCGCGGCCCTCAAGAAGTCTTCACCCCGAAACAGCCTCTCTCTTTCATATTAGCCCTGTTTTGTATTTCGGCACTGTGATACTGTATGTTACACCCAAACTATCCCTTATTAAACATTTTGAGAAACACTTAGTGTGAAGAGTAGGTTGTTCCAAGGGTGAGAGATGGGTTTTCATGTGACGAGGAAGATCTTACATTTTACTGTTTGCCTCAATTTCCGTAGACCATGATCTTCATTTGATTTTAGGAGTCCCTGGGCAAAGCAAACGGTGAAGTGTGGGTTGCTGACTGACAGGCTGCTGATTTCATTCCCCCCAGAGGTGCCTCAGAAGAAAGGCCTGGTGATCTACTTCCAAAGCATCGGCAAACCCCGGGGAGCACATTTCTGCTCTCACACACAGGGGCTGCCATGAATTGGATTCCACTTGGCTACAACCATTTTCTTAAGTCATTTTTATGACTTAAATCTTACAAGGATATGGCATTTTCTCACATCACGTGTTCAGGCAAATGACGTGCCAAGGGATAAAGTTCTCATAGGAAGTGGATGCACCAGGAGTTGTGTGGTAGAAAAACCATGTAACACAAATGTTGTTTGCAAAAAATAAGGTAATCCAGACTGAGTGAATTTTTAGTGTTTTGTATTAACATTTTTGTCTTCTTGTACTTATACTCAAGGAAGAGTTGATATCTAGCCAAAGAGGTTATTATTCTCTTAGTGTTATGGTGTATTTGATTCCATAACATAATATTTTATTAATGTAGATTTTACACCTAAGTCTAAGTCTAACACATGAACCATCTATTTGTCTTTTCTTTGTGATGTGTTAATTCAGACACAGGACATTTCTGTATAATACATTATGTAGCTCTTACCTGCTACCTAGATGTCCTTGGGTGGCACAATGGGTTAACACACTCAGCTGCTAACCAAAGGGTTGGGAAAGCTCATCCACACAGAGGCACCTCTGAGGAAAGGCCTGGCAGTCTACTGCGATGTCCCACAGCCATGGCAACCAGGGGGGCAGGATTCACTTGGACACACACGGAGGCTCCATGATGGAAGTCGAAGCAATGGCTAAGATTTGTTTTTGTTTTTGTTCCTTTTAGGTGAGTTTATCCAGATTTGGCTTCAGGTTCTAGCAGTTGGGGATGCTGTTTTCCAGAGAGAATGGTGGCAGAAGGGGAAGTGTCACTGGGTCAGGAAGGAGAAGGATTGTGGGTTTGTTTGGAAGGATCCAGCATTTTCTGGACATTTTGGGGAACTTTTCACAGAGCTGGTGTAGGAGCAGGGGAAGAAAGCCTGGTCTCAGAGTGTCAAAGGCTGACTGAGAAGACAAGTGGAGAGTGGGTTGAGGTGGGCAGGTGTCCTTGTGTCTCCAGAAGACACTCTTTATCTTCAGGACCACTCCCTCCACGCCCCACCCCTTAGTTATGAGGCTGACCCCATCCCAGTTCTTTGTTATTGTTGCCATGGCATCGGCCAGATTCATGGCGATCCCATACACAATGGAACAAGAAGCTTCCCTTCCCTGCAAAATCCCCGTGATCGGTTCTGGATCAGAGTGTTGAGATCCTTGGGGTTTCCTTGGGCTGATTTTCAGAAATACATCACCAGGCCTTTCTTCCTAGTCTGTCTTCTGGAAGCTCCACTGAAACCTGCTCAGCATCCTAGAACCCTCAAGCCTCCCTGACAAATGGGTGGTGGCTACACATGAGGAGCCCTGACTGGGAATCAAACCAGGTTCTCCCACGTAGAAGCTGAGAATCTAACACTGAAACGCCTGTGCCCTGCTCTAAGCCCTAACCAACACCAAACCCACCGTCACCGAGTTGATTCTGGCTCATGGCCAGCCCATGTGTGACTGAGTAGAACTATTTCATAGGGTTTTCTTGGCTATCAACCTTAATCAGATTGCCAGGCATTTTCTTCTGCAATACTGGGTAGTGGGTTTGAGCCATTAACCTTTTTCTATTAAGGTGAGTGCAAACCATTTTTGTCTAAGACCATGGAGGAGTAAAATTATTGCTGTCTTTGAGGAATTAAAAAGACAAAAACATGAGAGCTTTTTATTTCAGAGCTATATGCTCCACGGATGGCAAATGACCTTACGTAAAAATCCCCAATATTAGCAGTCATTAGTGATAACAGCTCAACTTAAACACAAGTCACCAGATGACCACAGGAATATAGATCCCAAGACATAATGGTGCCAAACAAAGAAGGCAGAAGTCAGGGTTTCTAACCTAAGTTAGAAAGTGACTTAGTGTCTGTTAGGAATGTGTGTGCAGCTGGGCGCAGAAAAGGCACCTTAACAGGAGGATGAGAAATACAGCTGATAATGTGAAAGGAAGTTAGACCTTGTCAATAGCTTTGTACCAAAAACAAATAGGTATCAATCTTAGTTCACAACCCGATTCCGAAAATATAGCTTTCTTTACTGGGATTTTCTATGTGTTTCTACCAACCTTTGGTGCATCTATAACTAAGGTAGAGACTAAGTTTGTTAAGATAAGGAGACAGACTGCATATGTGACCCAAGTGTAGCACCTTACAGAACGTTCATTAAACAACTCTCAGGATGTAACAATCTCAGAATGTGATGAATGAGCCCACTGAAAATGTTTAACTTTGTAGTTCAAGCAATTCTTTGGAAATTTTACCATCTTTCTACCCCATCTGCTATGTGACTGCATGCGCAATTCCTTTGTTTACCACATCTTTATAAACGCTATGTAAATCTTCTCCAAGTCAGAGCAGACTATCAGAGCATGAACCCGTCTGTACCCAGTTGTGCACAAGTGATTAAACCTTTTCTCTCTTCCACTCAGTGTGGTTTATTGGCTTAAAACAAACCAGGCACGGACTCATTTTTGGGGTATCAATGGGGAAGTGCTATCTCCTTGCACAAAATCTTCCCTTCTGATCTCCCATGGTTGATTTTCTAAGGAGAGTACCAACCTGGTATAATTGCTCATCTCATAGGCTTGTCTATCATTTTGTTGGAAGTTATGATATAGGAGTGAACTCAATTCCAGGCCCAAAGGTTAACAAGGGGCCAAAATCCTGAGGTTTCACCAGTTTCTATCAGACCAACAAGCCTGGTCTTTTATATATATATAATTTTGAGTTCTGCTCCACGTTTTTCTCCCACTCTGTGAGGGATCTCTGATTTTGCTCCCTTTCCCTGTGGTTGGCAGTGGTAGCTGACGCTATCTAGTTCTTCCGATTTCAGGATCACGTAGGCTGAGGTTTCCATAGTCCAGTAGTCCTTTGGACTAATTGTTTCCATGCATCTTTGATTTCCTTCACTCTTCTTTGTCTCAGAGTAGGAAAGACCAATTGTTGCATCTAAGATGGCTCCTCGAAAACTTTTAAGACCCCAGTCCATATAGAATTTTTAAAGCAACTTTATCTTCAACAAAACCTGGAAACAATCAAGATGTTCTTCAGAAGATGACTGGATTAATTAATTTTGGTCAATCAGTACACAGGAATACTACACAGCAATAAACAGAACTTACTATTGATTCACTCTAGAACATGGAGAAATCTCCAAAGCTTTTTTGTAAGTTAAAGAAGCCACATCAATAAGGGAAATATGGATAGTTCCATTTGTACAATGTTTTAGAAAAGGTACAACTATAGCTATAGAAAACAGATCAGTTGTTGGTAGGAGTGAGGGAAGGACAAGGTGTTCACCACAAAGAGGCTTCAGAAAGACATTTATAAGGTGATAGAATTGTTCCATATGATATTACCTGGGTGTTTATATGACTACACTTCTGTGAAAACCAAATGATTATACATCACAAATTTGTTATATGCAAATTTGTAAAAATCCTTCCAGATATTTGTGTATCTCAGAATGGGAAAGAAATTGTGGCAAATGAATCTAACTCTACTACAAATGTATGACATAATCTCTGACAGTGTTGAGGAAGAAAGCAGCTGACCTAAAGAACTGGAAGGACTCTTTTTTCTGGAAACAATAAGGCCAAATTAAAAAAAAATAATGAAGAAACACTGCTTTATTCAATAAATTTATCTTTCAGAGTGGGATTGCTTAGCAATTCTGAAACTACTAGTGTTGAAGAAATAAATACATAGATAAATTGCAAAGAATGGGAACTAAGCATCTCACCAACAAACGCCATAATAATTAGCAAGGGGTAAGAATGGAAATTAGGAGCTCTGGTAGCTTAGTGCCTAAGGCACTTGACTGCTAATCAGAAGGCTGGCGGTTCAAACCCACCAGCCACTCCTCAGAAGGAAGGTTGGGCAATCTACTTCTGTAGTGATACTGCCTCAGCAACCCAAGGAGGGGTCACTATGAGTTGGGTCCGACTCGACGGCACATAACAACAACAATGGAAATTAGCAGGGATAAAGAGGAATATTTCCTAATGATAAAAGGGGAACCAATAAGACAATCTGAAACATATATATTGAACAACAGAACTTCAATATATGAAGGAATAACTGGTAGAGTGGAAAGATGAAATAGAAAAATACACCAGAATATGGAAGTCAGCAAGTATACAGAAGACCTGAACAGCGCCATCAACCCTCTTAACCTCAGTAACCTTTCTTGAATATGCCAACCAACAACAGTGGAAGACACATTATTTCTAAGTTCTTGTTTTTGTTGTTACTAGGTGCCATGGAGTCAGTTCTGACTCATAGTGACCCTATATGCAGAAGAATGAAACAAACAGAATAAAAACCTCACTGTCATCAGTTTGATTCCAACTCATAGCAACTCCCATTTAGTATCCAGGTGGTAAATCGACAACCTTCTGGTTAGCAGTTAAATGCCTTATGCACTGCACCAGGCCAAAAACACCAAACTCATTGCTATCAAGTTGAATTTGATTCACAGCGACCCCCCCTTTGGTTTCTGAGCCAGTAAATCTTTATGGAAGTAGATTGCCCAGTCTCCCTTCCACAGAATGGCTGGTGGTTTTGAATCCCCAACTTCTGGTAAGCAGTCAAATGCTTTAGGCACTACACCACCAAAGCTGCCTCCACCAGGAAAAAAAAAAAACAAAACAAAAAAACGAGCTCACTGCCATTCCGAGTATTAGTGTATTAGTGACCCCCTCCTTAGGTTTCCCTGGCGATATTTCTACAGAAATGGACTGCCCAGTCTGCCTGGGTGGCTGGTGGATTTGAACCACCAGCTTTCCGGTTAGCAGTCATACGTCTCAGGCACTAAGCCATAACCCTCTGTTTCCGCCGGAAATCCCGCTCTTTTGGCACCAAGCAATTCCAGAAACCGGAAGCGGAAGTGCGCGTCCACGGTTGGCTAAGGTGATATGCCGTATTCCTGCTCCGGGAATGAGGTGGGTTTCTGCATGTCGGCATCTGGCCTGGTCCTGTACCCGGTGCAACCCGCGGGAAAACGGCTGGAGTGTAAGAGCGCTGCTCCGGCTTTCCTGCGCCGTCCTGGCTTCTTGCCCGGATAGGCTGCTCCAGACCCGCTGGGCCTCCCGTAGCCGCGCTGTGCCCCTCCCGCCGTCGCCGCTTTCAAGCAGCTGCTGCTGCCGTCACCTCCTGTGGTCTGGCTCTCCTTCCCACTTCCGTATGGGGCTTGGCTGATTTCTGCGGGGCTGGGGTAGGGGCGGTGGAGGATGTGGCCTGGACCTGTGTCTCTTGGTGCGTTAAGAGGTAAATCGGGAGAGTCGTCGCCGAGCAATAGTGTGACTCTCACACCAGCAGCGTTAGCATCAGCTGGAGTTCGTGAGAAATGCAGAGGCACGGGTTTCACCGAATCCCAGGGTGGTTAACCTGAATCTAAATGCTTTGCCCCTCCCTCTTCCAGTCCGCTGCTCACCGTGCTCCCCTTTGGTTTTGGTGATTCATTAAGACAGGGCTTTTGTTCAGTGTCGCTAGCATTACAGAGAGGAAGATTATGATGGGTGATATACTTCTCCCTAGTTTAATGTTTTTAAGGAGTTCTGGTGGCTTCGTGGAGAACGCATTTGGCTGCTACCCAGAAAGTCAGCAGTTCAAGGTTACCTGCGCCGGAAGGAAGATGGAGCAAATCCACTTCCATAAAGATTTACAGACTCGGAAACCCAACGGGGATCTCTTAAGAGTCAGAATCTACTCCATGGCAGTGAGTTTATTGGTTGTTTATTGGTGTGGTTTAATGTTTATAGGTATTTAAGATAGATGAAGAATTTAGAATCATGAGTTGCAAGTAATTGTATGTAGGACCTTATTTATCTCAGGTTCAAGAGGAAAATATTTAGAGGCACATTTGTAGCAGTTTTTTACTGTAAGGCAGACATTTTCATCATGATTGAGTGAGAAACAGCATGTCCCACCTTAGTTAAGCTGCTGTAAAATGTAATGTGGCTGAACAAACTTAATAGAGGGATAGACGGTTTGTGGAGACCATACATGGAGTGTTTGTCCAGGATCGTAAGGAATGGCTGAGACAGTCTGTGGTATTAGATGCTTGTGATTCAACCACAGTTTTTGCTGCCAGAAAACTATGCATCTTAGTAGATGGAAAGCCTCTTGGAGCAAAAGCCATGCATATTCCCAGTGTGAGAGCAGTGGGTGTTGGGAATGAAGACAGAATGTGTAATGAAAGTGATCAGAATACTTGAACAGGACAGCATTGCAAAAAAATCTCGTCCTTTGTGATAATTACTTTACAGAGTGCTCTTGCTTAAATAAATGTGAATTGCACAACTATTAGAAAATCATAATTTATAGTAAATAATTTTGAACTTGAAGAACCTTATATGAGTAAATAATATGTGGCATCTATAATATGACTAGAGAATGTTTCTTTTTGAAGCAAATGGAATAATGTAGAATGAAGGTGATGTTTGTATTTCAATTCTATTGAAAGTAAGAGCAACAAAAGGATAGCATTTTACATAGAAAAGAACTTAGGAAAAAATGAATAGACACTAAAGAGTCAAGTAGGGTGCCCGTAGGTGGCACAGATGGTTAGTCCAACTACCTGCAAGGTTGGTGGCTTGATCCACCCAGAGGTGCCTTGGAAGACAGGCCAGGTGATCTGCTACCAAAGGTCACAGCCTTGAAAAGCCCATGGAGAAGTTCTACTCTGCACACAGGGCGTGGACATGAGTCAGAATGGACACAGTGGCAACTAACCGACAGCAGCAAAGGGTTAAGCAGCTGCATATATTATCTCAAAAACTTAAAGTGTCTAAGTGCCCTTGTTTTGGTTCTCCAGTGCCCTCTAACAGAAGATAGCACAGATAGGTGGCTTTAACAAATCGGAGTTTATTCTCTTACTGTTTAGGGGGCTAGAAGTCTAAGTTCAGAGTGCCATCTCTAGGTGCTGGGTGAAAGTCCTTCATCCTTGGCCTTTTGCTGTGTCTCTTGTTCTCGGCCCACTGAAGGTAGAGACTTCTTAACTCACCTGCTGCTTGCCGAGCACAGCAAACTCTAGGCTGACAAATCAAATGGAACAGTCCCCAAATTACCAAACAACACGGCAGGCCAGTGGTTCAAGTCCAGGAACAATCCTCAGATTGGCAGACAAAGTGGCAGGCTACTGAGTGACAGCTTGGCTACATGCAGAGTCCAAGGGCATCAAAAATCTCAAAGACCTGTCTCATAGCTATCTTATATGCTGGAAGAAGACCCCATCCCTAAGGTGGCTACTCAGTTGCTCCCGTAGGTTCTACCATGGAGCTGATTACCAGTCTCACCATGGGGAATCACTCCATCCAGCCGCCCAGCCTCTCAAAACCAGGCCCAGACAAGTTGACACAATTTAACTACCATAGTCCTGTTTGAGAAATCATTGCTAATGCCAGTGCCATTAGCATGATCTGTTTTTCACTATTTAGAATTATGTTGTTGTTGTTGTTATGTGCCATCGAGTCGGACCCGGCTCATAGCAAACCCTCCTTGGGTTGCCAAGGCAGTATCACTACGGAAGTAGATTGCCCAACCTTCCTTCCGAGGAGTGGCTGGTGGGTTTGAACCGCCAGCCTTCTGGTTAGCAGTCAAGTGCCTTAGGCACTATGCTACCAGAGCTTCCAATATAGCCTGAGGTTGGCATTAATTCTTTCAAGAACCTTCCTTATATCCACATACTATTAAAATTTCCCTCCTTTCATTCATACATTCAGATCAAGAAACTAAGTTCCTTTTCTTTTTTTTTAAGTAGTGTCTTTTCATTCTATCTTTGTACATGTGTGTGTGTTAGAATATGCATAACAAAACGTTCTTCTGTTTTATCCATTCTTCCGTATGCTATGCGGTAACATTAGTTACTTTCATCCTGTTTTACAACCATCACCACTGTCAGGTTCTAAGTTTTTCCATCACCCTCAGCAGTAACTGGGTTCCACTTAAGCATTAATTTCCTTCTCCCTCCCAGCTGCCCCTGGGAACCATTTGACTATTGGAGATATTTCATGTAAATGGGATTGTACAATACATGTCCTTGTGTGGCTGGGTTATTTCACTTAGCATAGTGTGTTCAGGTTCATCCATGTCATGGCATTTGTGAGAGCATCATTTCTTTTTATGACTGAATAATACTTCAGTTTATAGAGAAACTATATTTTATCCATTTACCTGTTGATGGACATTTGGATTGTTTCTGCTTTTTAGCTATTATGAATAATGCAGCAGCGAACACTGGTGTTGAAGTACCTGTTTGAGTCCCTGCTTTCAAGCCTTTTTGGTATGTACATATTGTTGTTAGGTGTTTTTTTTTTTTTTTTTTTTAATTGTGATTTGAGTGAAAGTTTCCAGAGGAAATTCACTTTCCATACAGCAGTTCCTATACACTTTGTCTCATGACATTGACTGCAATCTACCACAATGCAACAGCTCCCCTCCTACTTCCTCCCGATAGTTACCTCTTTCCTGTGTCCTTCCCTCCATGCACTCCTGCCCCCTGAGCTGTCTCCCTGTGCAAAAACAGCCTTTCTATTCTCCCATGCTTGTTCTCTCCAAGGAGTGTATCTACCTAGTGTAAATGTTCACCTCATATGCCTGTCTATTGTTTAGCTGGAAGCCACAGGCGTGGGTTCAGTTTCTGACCTGAAAGGCAGCCAAGGGCCATAGTCTCAGTGGTTCTACCAGGCTCTATCAGACCAGCAAACCTGGTCCCCCCCCACACACTTTTTTTTTTCCAAAGAATTTTGAGTTTTGTTCCACATTGTTCTCCTTCTCTGTCCAGGATCTCCTACATAGATTCCCCCTCCAAGTGGTTGACAGTGGTAGCCGGGCACCATCTAGTTCTTGTGGTCTCATAGTCGTATAGGCTATAGTCGCATAGTTTACCGGTCACCTGGATTAATTGTTTACATGCATCTTTGGTTTTCTTCATTCTTCTTTACTCTGGATAAAGAGAGACTCACTGTTGCATCTAGATGGCTGCTTGCAAGCTTTTAAGATCTCAGTTGCTACTTATCAAAGTAGGATGTGAAACAATGTTTTGTGTAGTATATTATGCGGATTGAGCTTGATGTCCCCCCTGCAACTGTGGTTCCAAGCCCACGGGTCCAACTACTCACTCCCTCTGGGTAGCTGGCTCTGCCCAAGAAGTGACTACAGTCTTGTCCCTTGTCAGCTTTACTATACACCTGGGAATTCTTACAGAACGTAGCAATACACTTGTAGATACATTGTCTGCCAACCCTTGTACATGGACTTGAGCACACTCCACCCTGCACAGGCACACCTAATAGTTTCAGCCTGTCTACCCATCTATCCACCTGTATATCCATGTTTGCCTTCACTGACAATGCAGTACTGTATGTGCAAAAGGGTTGATCTTTGTTGTTTGTACCTCCCAGGTACCTCTCTATGTCTTTCTCTTCCTCAATGCCACCGTGTTGATCACTCAAGTTTGGTACATTGCCCTTCTCTTCACCCAAACCAATACTTCTCTCTACCTATCTAACAGTATTCCCTACCCTATCCTCCCACCCCTGGTAAATAACGAAGAAAATTTCCTTCCACAGATAAACCTTTCCTTGACTTAGAGTAATGGACTAATGCAAATTTGTCCTTCTATGACTGACTTATTTTGCTCAGAGTAATGTCCTCCAAGTTCATCCATGTTATGTGGTGTTTTACAGATTCTATGTTATTCTTTAGGGTTGCATAGTATTCCATTGTGTATAAGTACCATAGTTTGGTTATCCATTCCTCAGTTGATGGACACCTAGGTCGTTTCCATCTTTTGGCTATTGTAAATAGTGCTGCGATGAACATGGGTGTGCATATGTCTGTTCTTGTTCTGGCTCTCATTTCTTTAGGATATATACCT